TAGTTCTGGGAAGTATATTGTTGGAATTTCAATCAATATTGCATTAAATCTATATAGTAGTTTTGGAAGTATGGCCATTTTCACTATATTGATTCTTCCTACCCAGGAACAAAGGATATCTTTCCATTTTATATATCCTCTTCAATCTCCTTCTTCAGAGTGCTGTAGTTTTCAGTGTAGAGGTCTTTGCTTCCTTTGTTAGGTTGATTCCTAGATATTTCATTTTTTTACATGGTATTGTAAAAGGAATTATTTCCCGAATTTCTCTCTCAATGGGTCTGCTATTCGCATATAAGAAGGCTATTGTTTTTTGCCATTCCACAGTCTTAACCACTATTCAGTGCACAAATGTCTTGTGAAACTCCACTGGAATATCCAATTGTCTCATAACATTCCATACTCTTCCAGTGCTAGATGCTAGCAATTTGAACCCAAGGCCCCATGTATGCTAGGCAAGTACTCTACCACTGAGCTACAACCCTAGTCTTAATCAAACAAATATACAAACAAAAAAACTGTTTTCAGGGCCAGGGCTTTAGCTCAGTGGTGCTGCCGCCTGCCTCGCAAGCACAAGGTCCCGAGTTTGATCCCCAGTACCAAAAACAAAATGTTTTGAGATAGGATCTTGCTAAGTTGCCCAGGCTCACCTGAAATCTGTGATTCTCCCATCTTAGCCTTCTAAGTAGCTGGGATTACAGGTTCGTGCTACCATGCCCAACAAGTAGTTCCCATATTCTTAACCCAGTTTTTTCCCTTACCAAAGGGTCAAGTGTCTCAGAAAAACAAAGCTTCTTCCCTGCCCTAATGTTGTGTTGTACTCCTGCCTTCTCCCTTTCTTTTCTCTGGTAGCTGAACACCCTGAGTTCCCACTTCCTCACCTTCATGTGGTCCCCACTCACCCCAAGTGCTCTTGCTAAACTCAAAATGACTGCCTAGAGTCAGCAACAGCTGTCATCTTAGCATGAGGTGACCACTCCCTTACAAAACTGTCAACTCCTAAGCCTCATTCTCACCTGTCTTTCCTTCTTGCTCACCATTCCTTCTTCCTATTTACCTCCTGCCCTAAAATGTTAGAGAACTCCAAAACTCTGTTCACAGTATCCACTTGGTTCTCAGGAACTCACAACCATGCCCTTCAATTCCCTTACCATCTCTAAGCTAAACAATCCAGCCCAAATCAGTGTCCCAGATCACTCCTGAACTTTAGATCCAGTGGACTCTTGAGCACTTCCATCTCTAACCTCATGAATGACTTCCCACTCACATAGGCCAGAATCTGCGGCCCTCCTCATTCAATGATAACAATATTTATTAAGCACAAAGTAGGGCCAGATACTTTTCTGTTTTGTTTTGTAGACAGGGTCTGGCTATGTAGTTTAGGTTGGCCTTGAATTCACTATGTGGAACAGGTTGGCCTGAAACTTATGGCCATCCTGCCTTGGCCTCTAGAGTGCTGGGATTATGAGCAAATTGCTGGGATTATGGGATTACAGGAGTGCACCACCATGTCCAGCCCAGGCACTTTTCTAAGCACTTTAAATTTATTAACTCTTACAACTCTTATGAAAGCCTATGAGGTAATGACTCTTGTTACCCCCAAATTATAGAAGAATTTAACTGACAGAATCAGGATTCCTACACATCTGGCTGACGACCCTGAGTCACTGACCATTTTGTGACAAGCACTTGCCCATCCTCTTTGCCCTATCCAGACCTGGCCCTCTGCATCTTTTGAATAGTGCCTGGTCTTCCATCCTAGCAACTCTCCACATCACTTCCTGCCCACCTAATTTCTCAAACGCAAATGTCATTATCTAAAAAAGCTTCCATTCCTCCCACTGTCTACAAATTCAAATTTTATAATTTAGTCTGCCACCATTCTCCCAATCCTTCAACTGCACTTGGTTATTTATTCATCACCAGAGAGAGCATGATCTCTTGCCTTGTTTCTGTACTGATTATTTAAAATTATCTGTTTATTTTCCCCTGGTGACTAGGAAAATGCCAGGCACAAACAGGCACTTAACCATTTGTGGAAAGGGCATAGGCCACTTCTATCATGTTCCTTGCTGTATTGTCATATTCTTTTCAGTATTCTGAATTCAAAACAGTGACCACCATATAGTATGTGCTCAATAAATGTTAAATGAATAAAGAATGCCATTTCCCTCACCCAGTTACTCTTCTGAAGAACTATTCATCCTGCTAAAAGCAATTTACCTCTCAGGTCTGTGGGTTTCTCTTAACTTGATCATTAGGTTACCATCTCCTTACTACTCTTATGGCTCATACCACACCGTATTGCAGTTATTTATGCATATTTCCCCTTATCTGGTTGAGAGTTAGGATCTGACTGGCACTCTATCACTTACTGTGGTCTAGACAATATAAACATTTGTGAGTATTCCCGCTTGCCTCTCTTCTTACTAGTCTAGGAGCTCTCCTATGGTGGGGGATTGTGCCTCATTCATTTTGATAAGATGGACACTGGCACGATGTCTGGATTTGGGTAAACACCAGGGCTGGGACTGCAGGGAAAAGACTGGGGCAGCGGGCGCAAGAGCTTGGATCAATGCTTCTCACATTTTAACGAATCACCTTGGGATCTTGTTAAAATGCAGATTCCTACTTAGATCTAGGGTGGACTCTACACATCTAAAACCTCCCAGGGTGATACCCTGGTTGCTCGACCTGTGACTACTTAGAACCACTGTTCAGCTGGCTTGCCCGGCTACCATAGGACGCGCGCTGCCTCCTGGGACTTGTAGTTCCTCCTAGGACTTCAGAGCAGCAGGACATTACCGAAGGACTCAGCGCCCGCGACGGAGGGGAGGGCCCAGGCCTAAGAAAAGGCTGCCCGTCGAGGTGCGGGAGACGCGGTACCTGTTTGGGCTCGGTGATCACCGGCGGCGGCGGAGGCACCGCCTGCACGGGTCCGGCCGGCATGACTGCGACGCTTAGGGCTGCCAGCCCGCCTCAGTGTAGACGACCGCTGCTGCGTGAAGAGACACCTCGCCAAAGGTCAGACGAGCTCTCAAGATGGCAGCCGCCGAGGGAAACCTTGCAGCGGAGGCAAGACCGACGAACTTCCGGTTCCGCCCTCTCATCGTGGCGTGTTTCCGCCCCTCCTCTGGGGCAAGGCCGCGCAACACCGTTGTCATGGCAGCAGTGTGGGAACCCGACTGTGGGTTTTGGAGCATCCCTCGAGCAGCAGGCGCGCCGCCGGCGGTTCCTTGGGCCGGTCAGACACTGAACCCGGGGCGGCGACGCCGGAGGCAGGTGAGATGTTCTACACCTCCCGTCAGACGCCTCAGCACTCCGCTTTACTCCACAAGGCCAGTTCCTGTTCCCTCTGACCCGGACTTCTGAGGTTCCCTCCTTGGACTCTCACTTTGGAGAGCCCTTTCCCTCTAGGCCCACCACCTCAAAGTTCCACCTTTCAAACCGCATGCCCTTAAGTCCCACGTCTCTTTTCCACGGGCCTGCTTTTTCTAGGTTCCACCCCTTCTCAAATTGTGCTGCTTCCTGAGGCTCCAGTCTTGACCTCCACAGGTGCTGTCTGCAGACTGTGCCCCTCACTTGCCGGAGCTAGGCTCAAGCAATCCTCCAGCCTTAGTTTCTTGAGTAGCCGGGGCTACAAACATCCGCCATGGCTCTAGCTACCATTGTTCTACGTTAATAACACCAACAATAACATAAACCGGCTACAGTGTGGAGGGAAGGAGGTGGGGGTCTTCAGGGAGAAACTATCACTGCCCCATTTCACAGGAAGGGAAACTGAAGTCCAGACAGGGGGTCCCAGCTGATTTCCCTCATTCCAGAGCTGAGAGGGAGAGGAGACTGGACAGGAAGAACAGGATCTCAGCAGAGTAAGAATAAGAAGCAGGCGGGATTGGAAGTGTGTCTCTGGGAAGTGAGGGGCCAAAAAAGATGGATATATTGAACATTTACTGAGAGCCAGACCGTGTGTCAAACACTACATCATAAATGATTCCTAGTAGCAACCTATTTACAGAGAATTGTGAAGTTCAGAGTTGGTAGGATGGGAATCTGAACTCAGGCCAGTCTTCTTTTTTTTTGCTTAAATTCTTTTATTGAGGGCTGGGGATTTAGCTCAGTGCTGCTGTGACTGCCTTGTAAGCTCAAGGTCCGGAGTTTGATTCCCCAGTACCAGAACAACAACAACAGCAAAAAATATGGACTTAAATTCTTTACTGGTACATTTTAGGTATACAATACGTTTACATTTATCATTGGGTGCTTGTACCTGTACATGATGTATCTTGGTTCTTATTTTTTCCCCATTACCTGTGCACCCTTCACCCCCTCTACCCTTCCCTATTTACATAGACTTTGTTTCCATTTTTCTCTTTTCTCATAATTTTTCCTTTCCCTTCTTTCCTTTCCCCTCCTCCTCCCACCTCCCCTACCCCTTTGGACCTTTTCTTCCTATTTCAAGTTATCAATTATTCATTTTAATTGTTTTAATCCTTATTTACACTTTCAGTTTCTCACACTAGAGAAATTATTGGGTATTTACACATGTGTGTCCTATTTACTTCACTTAAGAGTATGGTCAGGCTAGTCTTCTTGACTAGTGCAAATGGTTATTCCTTTTTCTTCAGTCCCTTCAGAGTTCCCAGGGATTAATGCAATTAGCAATCTCAGGTCAGAGAATGATAAGTTCCATGTAGGTGGCTTTAGCAGATGTGTCTAGCCTTTGGGCTGCAGGTTGGACACACATGTGTTTTGATAAAAATATTAAAAAAGGTAGCCAGGTGTGGTGGCACTGACTGTAATCTCAGCACTCTGGGTGGCTAAGGCAAGAGGAGGATCACAAGTTTGAGACCAGCCTGGACAACTTAGACTGTCTAAAAATTTGAAATAAATAAATAAAAGGGGCTGGGGATGTAACTCAATGTGAAGTCCTTGGATTCAATTCCTAATACCACTAAAATAAATAAATAATTTAAAAGGAAAGGAGCTGGGCATGGTGGTGCATGCCTGTAATCCCAGCACTTGGGAGGCTGAAGCAGGAGGACTGACATGAGTTTGAGGCCATCCTGAGCTACATAACAAAGACCCTGTCTCAAAAAACAAAAAGCAAAAAAATAAACCATTGAATAAATTAAAATTGCCCTGAAACTTTCTTTTACTAATTTATCCATGGGAATTATTTTGTCAACACCCATCTTCTTAAAACTTGTCTGTAGTATTTTGAAGTTCTGGATATATTCATACTCTAGCTTAGCTTTCTTTAAGGCAGTGGAACAAAGGAAGAACGTATCCATAAACTGACAATAGGCACCCCGAGTACAACAACTCTTTCATCTTTGTTATATTCTACTACAGAGACTCATTGATCCAGGTCAGCATGTCCTGTTGATTTGAGTTATCACTGGTGACTGATGGGGAGTATGCATTCACTTCGATCTTCTCCCCATAATATGATGACATAAAGATTCATTATCACCAGCTGACTCCTTTTATAGACAGAGACTGGGTGTTTGCTGGAGGCAGTCTTTACCAGTGGGGTAGGTTGCTAGGTCTGAGAGAAAGAAGGGGCTTGAATGTTGAATGGGAGGGGAGAAAAGGCTCCTGCTCTTCTCTGCAAGTCAAAATTTTACCCTGAATCCTAGGGAACTGAAGGGAAGTAGAGTAAGTTGTTAACCCTACTAAGGGCATTGTTAGCTAAATTACTGCCATCACATGTGTGCCACAGGTATAGGTCAGGGCTGAGGGTTCTTCTACTCAAGGCCCCAAAATTACAGAGAATATTAAATCCTCCTTCATTTGCTATATGCCTAAGTGCTTCTCAAACTTCTGCATCTTCATAACCTCAGTTTTCAGGAAAAACTACAAAAATTAACCTTGGACTAACTTTCTTTTTTATACTGGGGATTAAACCCAGGGCCTTCACACTGAGCTACATCCTGATCTCTTTTTCTTTTTCTTTATTTTTTTATTTTTTTGGACCAGGAATCGAACTTAGGACCTTGTGGTTGCCAGGCAGGCACAGTGCCACTGGGCTACATCCCCGGCCCTCCTGATCTCTTTTTGAGACAGGGTCTCACTAAGTTGCTAAATTGTCCAGGAGGGGCTTGAACTTGTGATCCTCCTGCATCAGCCTCCCAAGTTGCTGAGATTACAGATAGCCTTGGATATTCTTTTTTTTTGGTACCGGGGATTGAACTCGGGACCTTGCGCTTGTGAGGCAGGCGCCAGAACCACTGAGCTAAATCGCCAGAACCACTGAGCTAAATCCCCAGCCCCACCTTGGATATTCTTGATGCTTTGACATTTGCTGTTACTATCTGAACCAGAATGTGAGTCAGTTGGTATGTGAGATGGCCAAACATGGCTAATGTAGTGTGTTTGTTTTTTGTGGTACTGGGGAATTGAATCTAGGGCCTTCACACTGAGTTACATTCCCAGCCATTTTAATTTTTGAGACTGGGACCTGCTAAATTGCTCAGGCTAGGCTTGAACTTGCAGTCCTCCTGCCTCTGGCTCCCAGACTGCTGAGATTACAGGCACGCATCACCATGCCTGGCTGCTAGTACCTCATTTGAGGTGAACAGATCAAATGTTTCTTGAGGCCTTCATAAGCCTTCACAAGCAAGCTTATGAATTCAGGTGCTTTGCCTGCTTCCTCCCAGGTTGGAGCTTCTTGCTTGCTTGCTTTATTCCCTTCATGCCCATTCCAGGGAGGAAACTCAAATGTTTTGGTCTGTTTTTTCTCTTTGTTTCCACTTCACTCCTTGGGGACACAAAATCTCATAGGCAGTAGTATCTCATGAGAGGCAGTTGCCAAAACAACATGTATGTAAGGTGCAAGCAAGTGTGTGTTTGTGTGTATACACAAATGCCAACAAACAGCTTTTGTGGTGAATGAAGCTGACACATCCAAGTTTACTCTTTGTAAAGACTCAGATATAGTTGATAGTTCGCAGAAGACAGGGTTCTGTATGCCCAGCTTTTTCCCTTGTCTTTTTGGGGGTTTGGTTTTTTGAGACGGTCTCACTATGCAGCCCAGGCTGGCCTCAAATTCTTGGTGATCCTCCTGCCTCAGCCTCCAGAATGCTGGGATTACAGGCATGCACCACATGCTCGGCTCCCTACCTAGTCTTGATATAGCATCCAGGGGGTAGTGGATACTCAATCACTCTTTGTTGAAGGAACACACATCTGACCACTATACCAGCCCATATGGCTTTCAAGCATTTGAAATATTGTCTGGTGCAAATTGCCATAAAGGTCAAATAAACACTGGACTTTGTGACTTTAAAAAAAAAAGTAGCTGGGCTCGGTGTATACCTGTAATACCATCTACTTGGGAGGCTGAGACAGGAGATTTCAAATTAGAGGCTAGTCCAGGTAACTTAACAAGACTGTATCTTAAAAAAAAAAAAATTAAAAGGGCTGAGGCCAGGTAGGGTGGTGCACACCTGTAATCCCAGCACTCTGGAAGGCTGAGGCAAAAAGATTTCAAATTTTCAAGCCCAGCTAGGGCAATGACTTAGTGAGACTCTGTTCAAAATGAAAAATAAAAATGAGCTGGGGATGTAGCTTACCCTATTCCTCCAGCCTGAAATACTTTCCCTTTCTTCCTAGGCACCCTCCACCCTGTCTCTAAGGAATCCCTGTGGTCACTCACTGTCACCTTCATCCATTCCAGGGACTAGAGGGCTGTTTGAGGTCAGACCTGCACTGGGGACAGGAAGCCAGGTACCTGGATGAGCTCTGGAGCCCACAGTCTAGTCCAAGAGTCAGACACGGTTCATAGCTGTAGCTCCACAGGCAGGCACCCGTGAGAGGTGAAGCCAGAGTCCATTGTTCTGGGAGACTAAGGGTCCATTTCAGCCCTCAGGGACCAGGCCTGGGTGTCTCTGAGCTTCCCAACACTTGTGGGGACAGGCTGTTTCTCAGGCGTCTCAGCCCAAGTTGCCAGGTTATATAACAGTGAACTCAAAGGTGACAGTTCATGAGCTCACAGGGAAAGAGACTGTCAGCCAGATAATTAACAGACTTCTCTCAAGGTCAGGGCAAACTTCTTGCTAAGGAACAACCTGGTAGATTAGGTTTCCAGAAGATTCCTCCAGCTGCAGCCACATCTCTCTGGCTTAACTGAGTCCTCTCTGCCTGCCCCAGGAGCTGTGAGAATGGCACACCTGCTGGGCAGCCAGGCCTGCATGGACAGCCTGCGCAAGGACCTCACCGACCTGCAGGGCGCCATCGTGGATGTATTTTCTCGAGCTGGGCCAGTGCACTTCCCCTCCTGGAAGTTTCCTGACCAGGTAGCCTGTGACCTCGACATGGTGGCCCTGCTAGAGCACTATGACCATGTGCCGGGTGACCCTGAGTTCACACAGCTGTCCCATGCTGTGCTGCTGGAGCTGGTCATTGACAGGTGAGGACCCTGACTGAACCTGGACATCTCAGGGTGCTTCCATTTGTGCCTTACAGCAGTACTAGCCACAGGAGTGCCTTGTAGAGATGGTGGCAATGTAGTAACAATAATTACCATATACTCAATACCTGTTAGGAGCCAGATCAGCTCAGGACCCTCAAAGTTACTCACCTTTTAAAATAAATTTTGTACTGGTGATTGAACCAAGGGCCTTCACACTGAGCTACATCCTCAGTCCTTTTTTTACTTTTTGAGACAAGGTCACACTAAGTTGCTAAATTGTCTAGACTGGACTTGAACTTGTAATTTGCCTGCTTCAGCCTCCCAGAGTGCTGGGATTACTGGCATGCACTACCATGCCTGGCTGTTACTTCACCTTTTGTTGTGTTATGTGTTGTGTTCTGCTATGCTATCCTATCCTGTCTGGCTTAGGGAGTTGCTGCCAGCCCCTTCTGGTCTCCACGGTACTGCAGCTCTAACCACTGCCTCCTTAGGTTTTTGTGTATCTGAGACTCCAGAACTGCTACTCAGAGTTTCCATCCCAGGCAATTTTTCCTGGTGTCTTGTGGGTATGCCTCACAAGGCCAGACAGAGGATGTATTTTTCCAATGCTACCCCCCACCCCTAGGAAGAGGCTAATGGATTCCCTGCAGTTCCAGCACTCTGACATGCTATTGCTGTCTGTTAAAGTTTTGTTTTGTTTTGTTTGTTTGTTTGGTACCGGGGATCGAACTGGGGTCCTTGCGCTTGCTGGACAGGTGCGGTGGAACCACTAAGCTAAATCCCCGGCCCGCTGTCTGTTAAAGTTAATGGGATGGGATTGGCCTGAGGGTGCAGCTCAGGTATACTCAGCTGATAAAGTACCTGCCTAGCAAGTGTGAGGCCCAGGCTTCCATTCCTAGCACCACAAAAAATAATAAGAGCTGTGTGTGGTGGCACACGCCTATAATCCCAGCACTCAGGGAGGTTGAGACAGGAGGATCACAAGTTCAAGCCCAGCCTGGGTAATTTAGCAATTTAGCAAGAAATAAAAGATAAAAAGGGCTGGGAAAAATCCTTAGTACCGCCAAAATAATAATAATATTAATAACAACAACAACAGCAATGATAACAACAGCAGCAACAACAACAACAATAAAGTTAGTATGATCATCAGCTTTCTACTTTCTGGATATCACAACCCAGTTCTCAAAAACCTTCCATGCCAGTAAATCCACAGGAGCCTGACAGGCAGCAGGGACATTGTGGGGTGACCTGCCTGGGGATGGAGATGACAGGGTTACTACTCAGAGGCCCAGAGGAGCTCTGGGTATGAAAGCACCATTTATGACCTACAGTGGCCTGGAGAGATGTGAGCATAGAGTACACCTTCCATCCTATATGGCTTTGCATTATTCTGGGCCTTAACTAGGAGTACCCTGCTCAAGCCTTCCTGGCCTGGCCAACCCCCCGTCATGCATCAAGGCCCTGTTTACCCACTCCTCTGTGAAGCTGTCACTGTGAAGCTGCTCCCAGCTTCCCTGACCCCCTGCCACCTCTGGCTGAGTGAGGTAGAGCCTCCTCTGGGCTCCTGTGTGTGTAACTCTTGCCAAGGCTACTGGATCTGAGATCCAGACCCACCTGGGAACCCTGGAGGTCAGGGCATGGCCTCCAGCTCACAGTGTGGCATTTAGAGATGCTTATGTCACACTGAGATGGGAACAGGGCTAAGGATGTAGATAGCACAGCATCTCCCACCATGTGAGTCTCTCTGTCTGAGAAGATAGATTGCTCTGCTCTCTTTCCAGGTGCTTCCTCACTCCGTAGTGGTGCTTGACATGAGGTAGAACCAGGAGGCAGTTGGCACCTCTTCTCCAAGGCCCCAGGGGTTTGGGATGACCCCTTCTCCCCAGCAACTGCAACAAGATAAGGTCACTTATCTTCCCTGTATGTGTTGTAAACACAATACTGCTTCCTTTAAAATAAATCAGTGTCTATGCAAATGTAAACTTATCTTGCCAACACACCCCTTTCCCTTGAAATTAGTACCTACCTCTAGTATTTATTTTCTGGTGCTGGGGATTGAACGCACAGCTTTTTGCATGCTAAGCATATGTCCTATGACTGAACTACATCCCCAGCCACTAGCCTACTTCTTAATTTTGAACTCAGAATAGCATATAGACCCAGCTGTCCTCACTCAAGTTTCCATGGTCTCAGAAGCAGCTCCATCTGTGAGAGAAGCCCCTGATTAGAATCTGAAAACTGCACATGTGCCCCGCCCTGCTGGCCCCCTGCTGCGGGGGGGGGGGGGCTGGAGTGTGTCTTTCCCTCTCAGAGTCTTGGCTCTGTCATTTGTAAAAGGAAGGCTCTGGGCACTCGATGTAAGGCTGCTACACACCTATAACTTTCCAAGCACTCATGGTACATCTTACGTGAAGTCAGGCTAGACTCCCTGCACTCCCTGGGAAATAGCCAGACAGAAGTGCTGCCACCCAGGTGGCCTAGAAGAGGTCCCTGAGCCAAACTTGGGGCTGGAGGAAGTAGCTCCTGGATTGTGATAAAGATGGCCTGGCACAGCATATGCAGAGACTATCCAAGTCCCTGATGCCTAGGCCAGAAACTGCCAGATATGTGGTGTGAGGACACATTGATCTCAGCCCCAGTCCACCCTGCCATTTCTGCCTACAGATTCCTGCTGCTTCTTCAGAGCTGTGGCAGCTACCTGGAGAACCTTGGCTCAGAGCAAATGATGCCCACTTACCAGGCATCAGGGCCCTGCATGTCTGTGGGGCTCACAGTGCGGCGCTTCTGGAACAGCCTGCTGAGGCTAGGGATGCTCTATCAGCAGACAGCCTCCCAGGTAGGTTAGCCCCAGCCCCCAACTGTGATCACCCTCACACCCTGCCCTGGCTTCCAGTGCATCACTGTGCACTGCCTCCATCCCTGGTTCCTTGCTGTCCACGAGGAGCAATGTGATCTCCTGAGCCACATGTCATGATGTTAAGAACACAGACCTGGGATGGAGATGTAGCTCAGTGACACCACCGCCTGCTTGGCAAGACCTTGGCAAGCTCAAGGTCTTGAGTTCAATCCCCGGTACCACACACAAAAAAAAGAACACAGACCATAGGGGTCATGTCTGAGCTTTCTAGCTCTGCCATTTACCCTGTGGGACTTTGAGAAAATCCCAACTCTTGTCCTCTATATAATGAGGGTGAATATGAGCCCCATTTGTTACAGGTTATCCTATAATCATTACTACCACCCGGTTGAGAAGGACAGCTGTCACCATGAGGGGGAGGAAACTAAAACTGAGGGTGGTTATGGTGGCTCGAGAGCAAGCAAGGGCCCAGTAACCAGCAGCTGTCACTGTCATTGTACCAAGGCTACACATATATTAAGCCAGGAGTGGGTTTGGTAAGTTGAGTCACAGGAAAAGAGGGAAAAGGTTCTTTCCTATTTGTGTTGGCGTCAGACATCATCTAAGGATCTAAGTATTGAAGGCTGTCACAGAACATCCCCAGGGAACCAGGCACCTCACAGGCCCATCTCTCTCACCTGCTTTCCTTTCTTTTCTTGACCCCAGAAAAGGGCAAGCCAAGGGGAGAACCCCCCCTCCAAGTCCACAGCCAAGGGCAAGTCAGCCAGGAGCCCTGAATGTGTTACTGCCAAGTTTATCAAGCCTCCCTCTCCAACATCAGGATCATCACACCAGACGTGCCAAGGGCCGCAGAGCATTCCTGTCTCTCTGAGGTGCCCAGCCAGGACCTCTGAGAACACCAAGAGCATCCACTCCCAGACCACTGAAACAGCCCTGGTGCCCTGTGATGCATGCACCAGTGTCCAGGGCAGCCTGAGGGAAGTGGGCAAGGTGGTCATCAGCCTTTGTCAGAACCAGAACTTGCCCTCATCTTTGGGCCAGTTCCAGCAGCTGGTGCAGGACAGCATGGGGATCAGGCCCCTGCCGGCTACCACCATGGGCCACTGGGCAGAAGAACAGAGCAAAGACCTGACTCGCCTCAGTAAGCACATGGGGGCCCTCACTCAGCTTGTTGGGCCTCTCAGGGCCCAGCTGGAGGAGAGCGAGGGGCAGAAGGATGGCCTGAGGAAGCAGGTGGCCAAGCTGGAGCAGGACTTGCAGCAGGAGCAGGGTGAGCGGCAACAGCAGGAAGAAGAGTCCAAGCGGCACCTGACCAAGTGGGAGTGTGACAGGCAGCAACTACTTGCAGGTCTGTGGCCCATAGGCTGGACATTCAGTGTCCAAGGGCTCTGCTATACCCTGGATTGCTTTTTTTTTTTTTTTTTTTGGTACCGGGGATCAAACTCGGGAGCTTGTGCTTGCGAGGCAGGTCGGGGAACCACTGAGCTAAATCCCCGGCCCCTGCTCTGCTATACCCTGAGACCTGAGACAGTCCGGTGGTTTGTATGGAAGAAACAGCTTGGGCTTGGGGAGTGGGCAAGAAGCAGGAAAGGAAAGGCAGTAAAGGATGTGTCCATCCAGCTGGTAATACTGCCCATGAGGAGCAATGTGAACTCCTGAGCCTCCCGTTCACGACCCACATGACATAGCTGTTAAGAACAGCACTCCAAGCTGGAGCTCAGACCCACTGGGGAACACCAGCAGACAGTGGGTAGTGTGTGTGCCTTTGTTGTCCCATTAGGAGGGGGAGGGAGCTGGGCTACTAATCCACTTGCTCTTGACCATCACTGAGGTTACTTCTGGGGAGCTCATTCCCCTGGCACCTGCATCCTACCAGAGCAGTCTCTCTGGCTTTGGAAAAAGCTATTAAGCAAAAGTGATGTAGGTCCTGGCGCTGGAAGTTGCCAGTGCTCACTAATGTTTTGAGTATTGGAGCAAGCCACTTTCCTTCCCAAGCCTTGCCATTGCCTCTGTGGAGTACATCATGGCCCAGAGACATGTCAACCCATGGGAGCCAGCCAGTGAGAGGCAGGATGAGGTCCCAGCTTCCCTGGCACCTCCCCACTGTTACTTTGTTACCTCAGGTGGCCTCTTCACATGGCAGAGCTGCCTCCATTCTGCATGGTGCTCTGGGCATGAGGGATACTAACCAGTCCCAAGGGCTCCTCTGAAAGGCCTTTCTTTTGGTTGGTTTAGAAATATGTGACCTAAAGACGCAGGTGGCTAACCTCAAGGGAGAGCTGAAGCAGCAGCAGGACTCCATGCTGGCCGTAGGTAAGGACCCTTGTTGTGTGTCCCTGTGCCATGTCTCAGTCCAATGATGGCTGGATAAGTGTCCTCCATCTCTGAGGATAATTGTAGTAGGGTGGGCCTGACCATCAGCACTACTGGACAACCATCTGAGCTTGGGTGCCACCTCCTCCCCAAAACCTTCTGTTTTCCAGACCCACCTGAGGGATCTAGAGTCCCATGTTGTGACTGAGAACACTGAAGCCCAGAGATATGATAGGAATCTCCCCTTGGATCCCCTCCTGGGTCTGGGGTAGTGCAGGGACTTGCACCCCTACCCTGGCCCCCATGCCTGCTCACTGAATCCTGCAGAGGCAAAGGCCCAGCAGCTGCAGGAGGAAGTTGAACACAGGATGGCAGCCGAGAGGCAGGTGCAGCAGCTGGAGGAGCAGGTGCAGCTGCTGGCAGGACGGCTGGATGGAGCTGGCCAGCAGATCCGCTGGGCCAGCACAGAACTGGATAAGGAGAAGGCCCGTGTGGACAGTATGGTCCGCCACCAGGAGGTAAGGCCCAAGGCACAGGTACTGGGGTTTAGGCCATGTATACAGCCCTGTCCTCCTTGCTCCCTGCCATAACAACAGGAGGTAGATACTCTTGTCAGTCCCATTTCATGGATAGGGAATCTGAGGCTGTGATGGAAGTAGCCCCAAGCTACACAGCTAGCAAGAGATGGAGCCAGGATTCACAGCAGAACACCATTGTTTCTTTCTGCTTTATACTTAGTGGATGTTGAAAATGTGGGTTTCAGTGACACAGGTTAATGTGACACTGAAGACATAAGGAGAAAAGCTTATTTCCCAGAATTCCCTTTCTAGTAGGCACTGTGTTTGACTGGAAAGGAGTGTATGTGTGATGAGGCTGCCATGGTCAGCCAATTGTCTTTCAAGGGTGTGCAGTCTGCAAGCTGAGGGCCCAAGCCTAGACCAGGTTGGTGTGTATCTGCCACTGTCTTCCTTCTGCCCCTTTATGTGTGTGCATGGCCTCCCTTGTGCACAGACATGAGGCATAAGGGGAGGTTCAGAGGGAGAGGGATACTGTACCCTCTTTAGTCCCATATGGCTGTTGACCTAGGCCTATGGGCTTCACAACTTGTCTATTCCCACTCAGTCCCTGCAGGCCAAACAGCGGGCCCTGCTACAGCAGCTGGACAGCCTAGACCAGGAACGTGAGGAGCTGCGGGGCGGTCTGGATGAGGCTGAGGCCCAGCGGGCCCAGATGGAGGAGCAACTGCAGAGCCTGCGGAGTGAGAAGGAGCAGGGACAGTGCCAGCTCCAGGCCCATCAGGTGCAAGTGGGCAGGTTGAGGGTGGGGATGGCCCTTCCCTTTCAGCAGAGGAGCCTCCAACCTGCTGAGCACCTGCAAGTGTATCCTGTGCCTGGGGGTGGGATGTTGTCCCCAGGCGAGCAGACAGCCAGGAGCTATCCTGGGGCTAGGTCTGAGCCTCTCCATGCCTCAGGAGCTGCTGCAGGGCCTGCAGCGGGAGAAGCAGGACCTGGAACAGGAGACAACAGACCTGCGGCTGACTGTATTGGACCTGCAACGGGAGATGGCAGAGCTGAAGGAGCAGGAGCGGCTGCTGGTGGCCTTCCCTGACCTGCACAGGCCCGTGGAGGCCCAGATCCAAAGTAAGGGCCTGAGCTTGATGCCAAGGGCATAGGGGGCCTGGGTAGGCAGCTGAGGGTTCAGCTCGGAAGGACAGCTCCTTCAGACTGCCGGGAGTGGAGCAGGGGCCAGTCAGCATGCAGGTGCTTCCTGTGTTGTTCAGCCCTTTGTGCACAGGGGAAATGAAAGTCCAGAGGTGAGGTGAATGCCGTTGGCTGTCACAGCTGAACCTAGTCACAGGTCTGGCTGCCTCTAAGCATGTACTTCACCATATCACAAGCCAGTCCTTGCCTGACTTCCCTGTGTCCCTCCTCCTGGCATCTCCTCACACCACAGGGCAGTGTGGTGTCCTGATGCCCACAGTCTGGAGTGGTAGGTTCCTGTACTGGTCCAGAAGCAGATGTCAAATATTCTGGGTTCTTGTCCTAGCCCTCTAAATCTATGATGAATCCCTCCTCAGAGGTGCCAGGAAAATCCTGTGTACTTTAGTGGTCACAGGTCACCATTCCTGAGCACTAAGTGCCAGGCCCTTCTCTCACCTCACAACTGCCCTACCAGGTGAGCAGCAGTCCCTTTTTTTACAAAGCAGAAAACAGAACCAGAGCAGGCAGCAACTTGCCAAGGTTTAGAGAGCTGGAAGTACGTATCCATCACCACAGGATAGGAAAGAATGTCCTTGGTGAATTCCTCTGACTCATTTCCAGAGTTGGTTGGGTGATGTTTTGGACAACTCACTGTATCTCTCTGGCCTGCCAAAACAGGTAGCCTTGGAAGATTCTCTCTCTCTCTCTCTCTCTCTCTCTCTCTCTCTCTCTAAGAGATTCACTCTTGCTAAATTGTTTTTTGGTACTGGGGGTCGAACTCAGGACCTTGCACTTGCAAGGCAGGCAGCAGAGCCACTGAGCTAAATCCCTGGCCCGTCACTCTTGCTAATTTGCCAAATCATCTGTGAGTTCTAGGACCCACACAGCTCTCTGATTCTACGATGACAATGCTATGTCACCTTCACAGCAGATAGGGGAACAGGGAAGGAGAACAAGACCTCAGGAGAAGGAAGATATGATGGGAGGCCCAGTGCACTGTCCAGCCACCTGTGTCTGGCCTCTGAGATCTGTCCCTTGGACACAAGAGGCTGACCTGGTGAGGCCGGGTCCCAAGTACTGTATCATGTTCTCACAGGCTCTGGCAATGTCACAGAAGACATGAAGAGGCAAATACAGGCCAATGACATCCGTATCCACATCCTGCAGGAGGAGAATGGGCGGCTCCAGTCAATGCTATCCAAAATCCATGAGGTGGCCCAGCAGGGGGGCCTCAAGGTGGGCCTGAGGGTGGGCCCTGGGGATTGAAGGACCCCAGCAGAGATCATTAGACTGCCCTGGGAACCTGTCAAGAGCTGAGTGCCAGCCTCACAGCATGTGGCTTTAGGCTATGCTTTTGTGAAACTTCTACCACACGTCAGGGTGTGAGGATATTACAGATTCAGTGCCTTCTGGTTCCAAGTATCCCTAGAGCCTTTCACATCTTTACTTCAGTGTAACTTGGGGCCTTCTCACATGTGTTGCCTGCCTAAAGGTTTGCAGCTGAGGAAGCCCTAGATAGCTTTCCCTGTCCTTTAAGTGGACAAGTATGAGTTTGGGCCCTCCCTCCCTGTCCCTGCCATGAGACCCTCTCTATACAGTGGGGAGGGGACTCCCAGGCCCTTCTGAGCTTGGCTTTCTTTGCAGCTAATCCCGCAGGACCAACTGTGGTTCCCTCCAGGCAAGACAGCAGAACCTGTTGCCCAGGCCCAGAGGACATCCCCAAGGTGAGCAAGGCTTTGCCTGAGGTAGGGCAGGCAAGGGTGTCATGGTCTCTCTCACTTACAGGGGATCTTGTGAACTGGTCCTCCCTCAGGCCCCTGAGCAGGCGGTACCTTCCTAGCAGCAGGATGGGCAGCACAGGCAGGACCCCGCCAGGCCATCCCCAAAGATCCCCTCCTCGGCAACCCACCAACTGGCCCAGCAAGTCTTCCCTTGAGGATGTGACCCACTCTGCCATCTGCGCTCAGAACCCCATCCGGGCCTTGGTCAGGCTGAGGAGGAGACTTTCACCAAACCAGGGCCGGGCAAGCTCTGCACAACAGCCCCAGGAGCGGCCTACATAACTTGCAGCAGGGAAGGGGCTGCAGGGAAGGTGGCTGGCAACTCCCCAATGGAATAAAGTCCCAGCCATCTGCCCACAGCATTCTTGGCCTCACAGCATGGCTGAACTGGAGGGACAGTCCTTCCTTCCCTTTGCAGGACATTGGTCAGGAGAGACCTGGCTAGCAGAGCCCTGGCACTGTGTGCCCTCGGTAAGGGGGAGCTTTCTGCCTCTCTCTGGATAGGCTGTGGGAGAAGAGAGCACATCAAGGGCAGAAAGAAACTTCTAGCACCTGGGCCAGGTGAAAAGCAGTCCTTCCACTATCACAGCAAGGGTCAAGGGGCAAACTTGGATATAGTGACTGGTATCCACTGAGCCACCTATGTCAAGGTGATGGTGTATGGGGGAGGGCCAGAAAGGACATTGAAACAAGCAAGGAATCCAAGGCCAGGATCTTGGTTCTGGACTCACTGAAGCAGGCAGAGGACAGTGATGCCTTCAGCCTCCCATCCTGCCTTTAAATCTGGGCCTGGCAGCATTAAGGACTGAAGAACACCAGGAATCCTTTCACTGAGGAACTCCCTGCCTTTAGGAACTCATGAGAGTGACAAAGGAGTTGTCTACATCCTAAAGGTCAGAGCCCCAGAGGCCACCAAAGGCAGGGCCAGGCCTCTGGACACTTTAGCCAGCCCTGACTTTACTAGGCCTAGATCTTGGGGGCTGTTCAACCTAGGGTGCCATGTGGCTGAGCACTGATGTCACCAAACACCATAGGCACACAATGGTCATTGTCCTCAAGAAGCCACTGGCTCATAACGAGTCCTCCCTTGTCTGTGAAGGATAGGCTCAGAGACCTCACTGAGAACATTTTTTTTTCTCTAGTACCCAGGGATTGAATCCATGGCCTCAGGCACAATAAGCACTCTACCTATCACTGAGCTACCCCAGTCCCCTTGCTAAGGACTTAGGCTGTGCTCTCAGCCTTCTATGGCATTTTTCCTGGTGAGGATGGTGAGGCCATCAGGTGGAACACTGAAGTTTACAGAGAAGAATCAAGAGCAGGGTCACATATGTTGCAGGGCCAGCACTGTTAGGTCTGCCTAACTCTTGCTTCTGAGAAGTTCCAGGGTTCTTGAAGAGGCTGGGATGCCCTGGGCCACCTCTAAGGGGAGAGCCAGCCATTGAGGGTGGCTCATTGAGCAGATGGTCTGGCCAAGTCCAGGGGGAAGCCCTGTCACAGCTGAAATCAAGGTATTAAACCCAGCACGTTTCTTTCTGTCAGCTTTGGGGAATAATCTTCCAAGCTCATTCTGTTTTTATTTTTTGTTTTTTGTTTTTTTTGGTACCGGGGATCGAACTTGGGTCCTTGCGCCTGGGAGGCAGGCGGCAAAACCACTGAGCTAAATCCCCAGGCCCATTCCAAGCTCATTCTGGCTACTGACAGAATTCAATCCTTATGGCTGTAGGACTGAGGTCCCCATTTCCATCTTCCTTACCTCATGGCCCCTCCATCTTCAAGGAAGCAGCAGAGAATGTTGCTGCATTGAATCCCCTTTGCACTTCAAGTCTCTGACTTCTACCAGCCAGAGGAAATTGCTTTTAGTGGGCTTATGTGTAGGTCAGGCCCACTAGGATGCTTTCCCCATCTTAAGGTCAGCTGTGCATATAACATAACCTGATCATGAGGGTAATATCCCACAGAGTCACCATTCCATAGGTTATATAGAGTGTTCATGGTTGGGGGGGATCTTGAGGGCCATCTGAGAACCCCATCTACTACTGGCAGTAGAACCCAAGACAACTTAAAAAAAATCTTAAAACATCCACATAAACTTTACATCTTATGTTAAAATATATCCTTGTTTATTTTACTATTAAAATTTCCCTGCCCCAACTCTTTAAAAAATGGATGCCCTTGGAAGATGCACCACATTTATCCCGTGGCTTCAAGTACAGTACAGTATCTCGGTGAGTGATATATAGCCCAGCCAAGAAGTACAAGAAGTTTCTAAGGCCTCTGGTCCCAACCAGGCTTGGGATGGGAGCCCAGTTGGACAGCAGTAGGGCCTGTGGCTCCCAGTGCCCAATGACCAAGGACAGCACTACCGAGGTGGTAGAGAGGTCTCTGGGTTTAACATGACAGCCTTGACCAGGTCTATCTTGATAGTCAAGCCAGGGTGCCCCAAGGCCAGACAGCTTGTTCCTCAATCCCCCCTCCCCCCACCCCCCCAAATAAGCATAAAACAGCCACTGTAGTCTTAGCCCTCAGGGATCCCCTGGCTACACTGGTCCCATATTCTCACCCAATTGTCCTGGGAGCTGCATGTGAGCAGGGCAGATACAATGTCCCAGGACTCCAGAGAAGGGCCACAAAGTAACTTCTCACCCTGGCCTGGTGGGTCCTGGCCCTGAATCTTTGCTCAGGGCTGCAGATCCCTGCTTCCCAGCATGGTATGCTGGGGTCCATATCCTTCCCCCACCCCCAGGGCTGGCTGCCCTGTCCATTCCACCATCCTGTCCAGGAGCCCAGGCTAAGGGCCAGGATGCAGCGGAGGGGTCTGTTCCTGCACACAGAATCCCCAGTGGGGCAGCTAGTCATCTGAGTAGCAGTTCCCTGCAGGGAAGGAGGAGGAGGAACAATATGGAGAGAGTCATCAGGTAGGACCATTGGGACAGCCAAGGGCACCACCCCAGTGCTTACCCAGGACGTTGAATTTGCACAGCGGGCAGGTCTGCTGAAGCATCAGCCAGGGGTCCACACAGTCTCGGTGGAACTCATGCTTACAAGGAAGCACCCGGAGCCACTACAGGGGTGCAGAGGGGCTCAAGTCAAGGGCCAGGGCTCTAGGTGGGGGGCCTGGGTCCATACCCCTCACTTGAGCTGGGGAACTGAACTCTTCTGGAGCCTGTTGCCCCAACCTCTGCCTGCTGCCCCAACCCCATTCTGCTTTCTGTAGTCCTGATGGGGGTTGGGAAGGGCCTGGTTGGGTGGTCCCCAGGTCTCCTAGGAGTGGAGTAAGGGAAGTCACAGGTCAGCTGATGGCTGGTCTTGCCCAGGCCACTAACCTGCTTGTTATAAAAATAATCCAGACACACAGCACAGGTCTCAGTGCCAGGCTCCTTGAGGCCCTGTGCTGCTCTGCTCAGACGGCAGCGCCGGGTCTTGAGGGATGCCAGTCTCTGCACCACCAGGTGCTTGAAAAGGTCCACCTGTGGCAAGAGGACAGCCACAGTCTCATAGGCCCGAGGGCTAGGGGCACCCAAGTTTCCATGGTCTGGCTCCCACCTGGCCTCCAGACTCCTGCTGGCTCTGCCGTGATGCCTGCCGCTGGGCCTGGACCACAAGGCCTGTGCACAGGAGCATGGCCACCATCAGGATGGCATTCCACAGCTGCTGCAGGGGCTTCTAGGGGAGGGAAGCAGGTGTTAGGGGTGCTGGAGCTATTCCTTGTATTTCCCTCAGGAGCAAGCACTCCCATGAATAGGCGGTGACATGCATTAGGGGCCTCTATGTCCCCGCAGACTCCTGAATTCCTTCTCTCAAGCCCCTGTCCCTCCCACACTTGTGTTCCTCAGGGTCTGTCCCAGCTGCCTTTGCCTCACCCAGCTGCAAGGACAGCCACATCTGTCCCTTGCACTCTCCTAGCCCATCCTCAACCTGCACTTCCTCCTGGTCTGCTTGCTCAGGCCACACTATCCCCACACTTCTGTCTAGGAGTTCAACTGTAGACTAGATGAGTTAGGAAACACAACTGAGAGATCACTGTAAAACCTAGGGGTCCCAGGCCCCAGGAGGGTTTCAGATTGCTAGGGGAACCACACTGATCCTGACTTAGCTCCCACCACATGCATCATGGCTCTAGGTTTTGATCACTGAAGAGAAAGACAGCTCAGGAGATGACATGACACAGTAACACAAACATGCTCTCCACACAGAAGCTTATTTCACATGACTAGTAAATGTGTTATGACTAATAAACACATTCATTTAAAAGCTTTCAGCAGTCCTGGTAGCTCTCTGCCCAGACCAATGCTGAAGTTCAACTCCCATCATGACAGAGGAGAGGAGGTGAGAAACAATTTGATGGTAAAAGGCCATGACTCACAAGACATTGCTCTCGCGTGAGGTGGAGGTACTTTGGGGACCATTACTGAGAGATGTCTATGAGCCTGCCCCCATTTTCCCTCCTTTCTCATTGGAGTGGTGGCACCTGATCTGGGAAGTTCCCCTCAAGTCTGAGGCTGAGTTCAGGTGCCTTTGCTATAACCTGCAGGGTCCTATGCCCACTACCAGCTGAGCCCTCACCCCAGAAGTATAACAGTATTTCTTGCTTATCCATTCCCCCAGACTGGGTCCTATGACCCCAGGTCTAGAGCTGCCCTGCTCAGTGTCCCATGCCATTCTGAAGCAAGCTGACATGGGCCAGGACTTGCTGAGTGGCCATTACAGCATAAGCTCTCCAGGACACAGCCTGCTGCAGAGCTCCTTGCTTTGGAACAGCTAGGCTCAGTGTAGGGGTGGGGGAGGCAGAAAAGGCAGGAGGGCCGAGGCAGGGCTTGTTATCAAGAATGTAACTGGGGGTTGGGGATTTAGCTCTGTGACACCACACCTGCCTTGCAAGTGCAAGGTCCTGAGTTCAATCCCCGGTACCGCAAAAAAAAAAAAAGGAATGTAGTTGGTCTGAGCTTCCAGATACATGGGTACCAGGGGTGCTACAGCTCTGGATTCCCAAAGACCACTGAAAAGCAGGCTCAGTGTGGTACCTGGGCCCTGGAGTCAGGGCTGAGGGTCCAGTGTCCATCAGCCAACTGAGATGCTTGTCTAACTCCCCTTTGGACACCTCAGCTGCCATGGTCACCTAATACTTGCATGAACCATGCCCACCCTGGCCAGCAGTATGACCAGGGCTGTTCAGCTTTCCCTTCTTACCAGCCAGACCTAACTGCAGACTGTAGGCATTCTCAACTCTATGCCTCCTGGGGCCCATTCCTTGGCCTGCTCCTCTTCTCCCCTCCCTCCCAACTTGGATTTTTCTTCTGGCCCCACATCAAATCCCTGCCCTGCCCGAGGATCTGTATGGGATGCCCATGAGGAGGATAAATATATTGTACTGCTCCTACCCACAAATGAGGAACATGATACCAGAGAGATCAGACACTTGACCAATGATCATTCACCTAAGGTTTTAAAGCCAGGATGTGAACCCAAGTCTGACTGATTTGAAGCTGTTTAACATGGCCCATGTTGACTGACACCTGCTGGAGGCTACTCACCAACCATGCCTGCCCAGCATAGAAAAGGAGTTCAAGAAATCCTAGTGGCCACTTTTAACGGTTTTTTTTTGGTTTTTTTTTTTGTTCCAGAGATCAAACTCAGGACCTTGCGCTTTCAAGGCAGGCATCGGAACCTCTGAGCTATATCCCCGGCCCCCCAGTGGCCATTTTTGAACCCCTTGATGCCAAGCATTGGGAAATCTAGATACAAAACACAGCCCTGGCCACTAGGAGACTAAGTCATGCTCCCTAACGCATACAGGGTGGGTTGTCCTAAGAGCCCTGGGAAAGGCCTGGCAAAGCACTGCCGTGACCAAGCAGAGAGAGAGGTCTTTGATCAGAGAGTCTGAGGGAGCATTCCAAAGCAGGCAGGCAGCATGAATTGTGAAGGTGCTGCTAGACCAGGCCCTACGGAGATGGAGAAACAGGATCAATGCCTAGGGCCAAGCATGGACAAGGCCCAGAAGCAGGGGACAGAGCACATGTGAAGGCCAGTGAATGGCACAGGGTGGCCAGAGCATAGGAAAAAGGCTAGAAAAGGTAAGTGATGAGGAGAGCTGGAAAAGCCAGACTAAAGAGTCTGAACTTTAAAGACAACAGGGAGCCAAAGAAGGCTGCTGAGTGGGAGAAGAGAATAGTGATGACAGCAACTAAGCCTGGCTGCACACAACCTTGGGCCAGATGCTTTATGGAGGGCCCCCTACATCGTGTCACTAAACACATCAGTTGTAAGTTGGGAAGGGCTACCCTTACCACCAAGGCGAGGAGACCCCAGGCAGGATTTGCTTTGCCTGGGACCCAGCAGAATCCACCTGTACCCACCTGCTCCTGGGCACGACTGCCTCCCAGGCACACTAGGTCCTGCCATCCTCCGTAGCCATCCTTGGAGAGGCCACAGGTGGTCCACAGAGTCAGCTTCCACTCAATGTTTGCCGACAGCGATTCTCCACTGGTGATCTCAGCTGTGGCCTGGGTCCTCCTGAGAGGGAAAGTCACAAAGGGGACAGACAGAAGGAGAACCAGATTCACCCACCCCAGCCCTGCGATGTCGCTCACTCAGCCCTTCTGCTTTGGCTCCCAATCCTTTCCTAGCTGTTGGTTTTTCCAGTTCTCACACAGCCAGACCAAGCAAGAGCTTGTCAATCAGGTATACAGCTTCCCACTTGTAGGGCTGGTCCTCTCTGTCCATAGAGCCAACTCCTCGCTCCTTGCTCCAGGGCCTGGTGCCTCCTTCCCATCCTCTTCCCCATTTCCAGGCAAGGAGAGTACAGCTTTAAGACTAACAGATGACACCCTGCTCCTGAGACCCCTGAACCCACTGGAAAGCCAGCGAGCCTCAGCACCCAGGCTCCCAAACCCGGTGTTTTTTTTTTTTTTTTGGAGCCCAAACCCCAACTCACTGCAGCAGTGCCTCCAACAGTTTGGTGACATTGGAAGAATAATGAAGGACAATCACAGGCCTGAGCAGAAGTTGGGATATGTCCAGCTGGAGGGGACAGGGAGGTCAGCAGGCTCTGGTTTTCCCTTCCCCAGCCCATTCACCCTCACAGCTTGCACTGGTTTACCTCTCGAACCACATTGTGGTTCAGGATGAGGAGAAGGAGAGCCGAGGCTCCCAGGAAGAGGGCCCGTCGCATCTGCAGGAGGACAGAGGCAGGAGGCTGGTATATACCCTACCACACCTGCCTCACTTTCTGCAGCCCTAGTGCTCTTAGCTTTCCATTCTGCAGTAAGCCTTTCCTCTGGACTAGCTATAAGCTTTTTGAGGTCAAGGACAAAAACTCATGTTTCCTGATATGTAAAGTCCAAATAACTGCCCTTTTCCTGGTTCCTCTGAGGCAGTCCTTCTACCCAACTCTTCTATGACTCGCTTCTCAGTGTAGTGCAGATTACAGGGCAATCAGAGTCCCTTCCCACATGCCTGGTTCTACACCACACTGCCTGGTTCTCCAAACTGGACTCCCCGGACCCACAAAGGCCCAGGGTTTCTCCTTAGGGTCCACCTGGTAGCCTGTCTCTAGCAGATGTCTTGGGAGTCTTTTCCCCCAGGCCCTCTCCCCGATAGATATACACCCCCGGCACCTGCTGGACCAGCGCCTTGGGATAGGCCTGGGCACCACTGCCCTCATTCTCCTGGTGGAACTGGACCTCCTGCTCCTTGCCCACATATGCCACTGCAATCCAGCCTTCTACGGGCACCTCTTGCTCAGTATCCACGATGTCCATCTGTGTAGCGAGGGCCAATGAGCAGAGTGAGACGGGGAGGTGGAAGTGGGAGCGGGGGTCGGCCATGGAGGATGCAAGGTCAGGGTCTTGGGAGGGAGTATGGAGAGGACAGCGTCTCAGGTTTTGGAATCCTGAATCCTGGGGGCCGAAGCAGCCTGGGGAGGGGTCGCTGAGCTGTCAGGGCTCCTTCTAGGAGCACGGCGCGGTCTGGGCGCCGGGTCTATGCAGGGGTGGTGGAGACGGAGACGGCGCTCACCAGCAGCAACCGGCCGCCCAGCGGGGGCGCCGGGTCGGCTTCGGGGCCGATCCTGACGCCCTCTAGGACCAGAGCGTCCTGCCGTGGCAGCCTCACGTCCACCCGCACGGCGTGGGCTCCGCCCCGCCCCACCCGGGCCGCCGGCTCGCTGCCGTCTGCCGCGGCCCCGGGCCCCGCCAGGCCCACCCATAGAGGCAGCAGGGGAAGCAGCAACAGCAGCGGCGACGGGGGTGGCGGAGGCGGCGGCGGCAGCGACCTCCGCATGTGGTGAGAGGCGGAACCCATGGCCGGAACTGGCGAGACACGAAGACCCGGGGTCCCGGGCGCAGGGGGGGAGCAGAGGCAGGGAGGCCGCAGCCGGACCGAGCGGGGCGCCTGGAGGGGCGGGACCGAGGCCGGACAGGGCGGGGCGTCGGGGCGAGCAGGGCGGGCCCTTGGCGGCTCCGCGCCCACATTGGGCCGCGCGCGCCCCCTGGTGGCCACGAAGAATCCCGGCGTTAGGCGAGGAACAGGAAGGGGGCGGAGCCCGAGTCACAGGGCTGAGTTGAAAGTCGGAGTTGAGGCGCTCCCTAGCCAGCGAGATTATGACTCAGCGGAGCCAAGCACAGAGTAGATGGTGGAAAATAGCTGGAAAAGGCGGCCTGGGGAGACAGAGACACAATCAGGACCTGAAAAGGGCAGGAGCGAGGGACGTTTGTGGCCTAAGGGTGGGTCTTTTTTTTTTTTTTTTGGTACCCGGGACCTTGCGCTTGCGAGGCAGGTGGCGGAACCACTAAGCTAAAAATCCCTCTGTGGAGGCACGAGGGAGGAACCGTGTGTCCAGGACCATGTCACACCGCTCTCGTCCCTGGGCATCCTCTTCTCCTCAAGTCCAAACAGGAAGAGGAGAGCCACAGGTTGACATGGGAGGCAAATGGGGACGATTGAGGCAAAAGTCTCAAAGGGCCAGGGAGAAGGGCTAGGTGCCCCAGGCTAAACGAAGCCTACTCTTAGGCAGAGAGACTCATTTTCCTCATCTGTGAAGTAGGCTCGGTATAAAACCAGCATTGCCTCACCCCAGCACTTACTCTTGCCTGCTGAAATGTGAAATTTTGATTACTGTCCTAATATTTGTCCTTTTCTCTGAGGGTTGAGGTTGCAGAGAGCTGACTCCGTCTGAAACCTGAGCCTTTTACATATTGTACCAGGATAAAAAGGCAAAGGCTAGGAGAGAGCCGTATTTCCCCAAGTTTATTATTTTTAAAAGTCAAACATGCAGAAAAATGGAAACATTTTTACAGTAAACATCTGTCTAATTACCAATATTCAGTAGCTAAAATGCTCCAGAAGAAGAGTGAAATGGAGAGAATAAGATAGTTTGCTATCAGCCCCAAAACAGGCAAATTGGGCATGAAACAACCCAGACATGGACAAGCACGTATAAACCTGTTGCATGTCAGAAGAATTGTTTCAGTTGGGGAGATAGAAGGGGATAGTATGATAGACTTGTTGATAAATTGTGCTAAGAAATCCTGTTAACGGGGGCCGGGGATTTAGCTCAGTGGTTCCAGCGCCTGCCTCAAAAGCTCAAGGTTCCCAGTTCGATCCCCTGTACCAAAAAAAAGAAATCCTGTTAACCACTAGGAAAAAAAGCAAAATTGGGCCCCTATTGAACATCGTATACATAAAAATCAACTCCATGTGGATTAAAGACCTAAACATGGGACCGGGGATTTAGCTCAGTGGTTCCGTCGCCTGCCTCGCAAGCGGAAGGACCTGAGTTCGATCCCCAGTAAGCCCCCCCCCCAAAAAGACCTAAACATGAAGCAGGTCTTGTGACACATGGCTGTGATCCCTGCACTTTGGGGAACCGAGACAGGAGGATCCCAAGTTAGACCCCAGCTTGGGACATAGTGACTTAGCAAGACCCTAAAAAATAAAAAAGGCTGGGGATGTAGCTCAGTACACAGGCTTTGGGTTCAATCCCCAGTACCACAAAAACAACTAAATATGAAAAGTAAAACTTTAATCCAGGTGTGGTGGCACATGGCTGCAATTCCAGCACTCCAGAGGTTGAGACATGAGGATTGCAGTGAGTTCAAGGCCGGCCTGAATTACACAGGAAGACTGTGTCTCCAAAAAAAGTAAAAACTTTTAAACATTTCTTATAAAGAAACAGGAGAATATTTGATTACTTCAAGATCATTTCATATAGTATAAAGCAGATTGCAAAGGAAAAGATTTAAAAATGTATCCACATAAAATGAAAAACTTCTGTTAATTAAAACACTGAAATAAAATGTCAAAACAAGCCCAAACTAGAAGATATTTGCAATCAAACTATTCATATGCAGAATATATAAATATATGGGTATCAGCACAAGATATAAATAGGCACTGTACAAAAAAGGAAGCAAGAATGGTTAATAAATATAAAAAGATCCAGGGCTAGGGATTTAGCTCAGGGGTTCTTCCACCTGCCTCACAAGTGCAAGGTCCCGAGTTTGATCCCCGGTACCAAAAAAAACCAAATAAACAAACAAATATAAAGAGATCCAGGCCTGGTACAGCATGCCTGTAATCCCAGCACTTTGGGAAGTTTAGACAGGAGGTTCCAAAGTTCAGGCCTCATCTTAGTTTTTTTGTTGGTTTTTTTTGGTACTGGGGATCGAACTCTGGTCCTTGCACTTGCGCAGCAGGTGGCAAAACCCCTGAGCTAAATCCCTGGCTCTTTAGTAATTTAACAATTTAGCAAGATCCTGTCTCAAAATTTAAAAACAAATTTTTAAAATTGGGCTGGGAATGCAGCTCAGTGTGTAGGTCCTGGTTTTAATTCCCACTACCCCAAAACAAATTAAAAATAAAAAAGATAGTTGAGGGTGTAGCTCAGTGGTAGATTACATGCTTAGCATGTGCAGGGCTCCTAGGTATATCCCCAGTCTGAAAAACAAACAGCAACAGCAAAAAAGATGTTCAAGGCTGGGCATGGTGGCACATATCTGTAATCCCAGCACTCAGGAGGCTGAGGCAGGAGGATCCCCATGAGTTCAAGGCTAGCCCGGGTTACATAGTGATTTCAAGGCCAGCCTCAACTAAATAGTAAGAACTTGTCTCCAAAAAATATTCAATCTAATTTAATCATAATTAGAAATAATATCAGTCAAATCATATCAGAGATCAAGTGGTAAAATTTAAAAGTCTGAGGATGCCAGTACACACCTGTAATCCCCCTCTCAGGAGCCTGAAGCAGGAGGATATTGAGTTCAAGATCCACCTGAGTTACACAGTGAGATTCCATCTCAAAACAACAACAAAAGTCTGACAATGCCAAGTGTTGGAGCAATGGAATATGTATACTGCTGATAAGGCTGGTATAATACAGCCATATTGGAAAACTATTTTCCCTGAAATAAAACTGAAAGTGAACATAGTTAGGTATTTCACTCTGAAGTATATGTCCTAGAATAGGGATTCTCCACACAGAATGAACATTAAGGATCTTTTAAAAGTACCAACAATAGGGCCGGGGATTTAGCTCAGTGGTTTTGCCGCCTGCCTTGCAAGAGCAAGGTCTGGAGTTTGATCCCTGGTACCAAAAAAAAAAAAGTACTGACAACCAACACTGGATCAACTGAATCATAATCTCTGGAGGTGAGACTTTGTTTCTGTTATAAAGGCTTGCACACCAGATAAGTGTGCGGGCCTGGCTCAGAACCCAGCCCTTCCCCCAAATATGCAGAGTAGCAGTGTTGCATTGTGAAAGACTTGGAAATAGCCCAACTAGGAGAAGAGATAAACTGTGATATCTTCATGTGTAGAATATCATACAAGAGGAAAAACATGAATGAACTAGTTATGTTTGGCACCATGGATAATTCTTACAATGCTGAGCACAAAATGCAAGTTTCCAAATAATACATACTAACTATGTAAACTCAAAAACATCAGGGCCGGGCAGGGGATGTAGCTCAGTGGTTCTGTGCCTGCCAGGCAAGTGCAACGTCCTGAGTTTGATCCCTGGTACAGAAAAAGAAGGAAGAAAGGAAGGAAGGAAGGAAGGAAAGAAAGAAAAAGAAAGAAAGAAAGAAAGAAAGAAAGAAAGAAATCAGGACTTCTAAGATCACACAAAAAGTCAGTTGTGTTTTATATAACAGCAAGGAACAATCTGAAAATAAAATTAGGACAATTCCAAAATAATAAAATACCTTGGGATAAATATAACCAAGGAGGTGAAAGACTAGTGCACCAAAAACTACAAAGTGCTGTTGAAATAAAGAAGAACTAAATAAATGGAAAGACATTCCTACTAATGTATTATTAAGATGATGGCAATACGATTCAAAGCAATCTACAGGTTGGATGCAATGTATACCAAAGTTCTAGTGATCTTTTTTGAATAAATGGGAAAAAAGCTTATCCCAAAATTTAGATGAATTGTAAGGGACCTCCAAATAGCCAAAACATACTGAAAAAGAAAAAGAAAAGAAAAAGAGGAGGAGGAGCAGGAGGAGAGGAGCAAGAGGAAGAGGAGAAAAGGATTGACCTTACAAAATGACAATAATCAAAACAGTGTGGTACTAGAATAAAGACAGACATAGAGACCAGTGGAATAGGACTGAGAGTCCAGAAATAAAGCTCTGTGGAACTGACTTTCTTTTTATCTCTCTCTCTCTCTCTCTCTCTCTCGTGGTATCAGAGATCGAACTCAGGACCTTGCACTTGCAAGGAAGGCGTGGTGCCACTGAGCTAAATCCTTGGCAAACTGGCTTTCAACGAAGTGCCAGGATCATGCCCTGGGAGCCAGAACAGTCTCCTAAACAAATGGCTGTGGGACAACTCACTATCCATACACAAAAGAATGGAATTGGACCCTTACCTAATACCTTGTGCAAAAATTAACTCAAAATTAATCAGCAAAGGCTAGGCATAGCTTCACATGGTGGCAAATGCCTGTCTCAAACAACAACAAAGCCAGGTGTAAAATAAGAACCAAGATACATCCCAATGATGAATATAACTGTATTGTATACCTAAAATATACCAATAAACTTAATGAAAAAAAGAAGCCAGGTGTGGTGGGTACACATCTGTATTCCAACTACTCAGGAGGCTGAGGTGGGAGGATTTCAAGTTTGAGGGCAGATTGGGCAACTTAGTGAAACTCTGCCTCAAAATTTAAGAGAGGAAGCACAAGGTCTTGAGTTCCATCCCTGGTACTCCCTGACAAAAAAAAATTTAAAAGAGAAGGAGCAGTGTAGCTTAGTGGTAAAGCACATTCCTAGCATGCTTGAAGACCTGGGTCAAATCCCCTGTACAAAAAAAAAAAAGATCAACAGTGAGAATGTTAAGTGGTGCCACACTGGAGAAATTACTATGACAGTTCCTTTAAAAAACTTGCGCTGGGGATTTAGCTCAGTGGTGCCACTGCCTGCCTTGCAAGCACAAGGTCCTGAATTCAATCCCCAGTACCAAAAAAAAAAATCATAAATGTTGGTAAAAATGTGGGGAAATTTGAACTCTTATCCATTACTGGGTG